TTCATCTCACTGGAGGAACCTACTTGCACAGGGACAGATGAGTACACGCGCACCAGAAGGAAGGGACCAGTCACCCGGGCCAGGTCATGGCCACCTAATCTGGCTGGTGATCAAATGCTACCTCAGCAATAACCATCAGGATCCCTGTCTCAGGGCGTCCTCCACCGGCCACGAGGGGGCTTGAAGTTAAGAGGGGCAGCACTCCGCAACCCCAGCTCTTTGGATTCCACCCCAGGCGGGGCCAGTGCAGGCCATCCCATCCTGCGAGCCACCAGGGTCAGGGGCCTCAGACACAACAGAAATTGGCCGCATTTGTGCAGTATTGCCCTGGCATAGGTGATCACGGCCTCGTCGTCCCTTTTAGAGCAGAACCCGTCCCCTCTTCCTTTCACTCTTCCGAAGGAAGCCAGATTCCTAGCGAAGCTGGAATTCCAGCGTGAGCGGTAAACTCTGAAATGGGGAGCTGGAGCTGATGGAGGGAGGAGGGACGCATGTCCTAGACGTCCTCTCTCCTCTGTGGCCAGTGAGCCTCCTTTGACTTCCTCTCCTGGCTCAGACTTCGGTCACGGTAAGGTCTTGCCAGTGGGGCACAACCCCAGCACTCTGGGGCGCACGGGGCTCAGCGGCTCCACGGGTATGCTGCCCGCGCCCAGCCCTCGCCACTAGGCGCCGCTGCGCGCACGCGGATATCCACCCCGGGCTGCCGTGCCTGCCCAGCTAGCGGCCTCTAGGGAGGGCACCAGAAAGGGATTTGCCTTAATAACAATTTAAAAAACCCGTTTTTTTGATATTAATTTTTCTTTTCGTTTTACCACTGCTGCCCTATGCAATTCAGAGAGGCCGGATGACTGGAAATCACTGTGGGCTGGAGGAATTCTTAACCGAGTCCTGAGGATCTCCCCATCCCTGGGACACCTTCGGCCCTGGAAAGGGCTCACTCTCCACTGACGCCTGTGCTTCCCGCATTGCCTTGCCGGCGCACACTGCAGGCTGGCGGGACTGGCTCTCCGGGAGGGTCCTGACCACGGCGACTTGGATTTAGCCCAGCGCGGCAGGTAGGCAGGATGTACAAGGCCATGGCCTCACATCAACTAAAATCTGATGAACGGAAACTGTGCCAAGCATTAGCTCATTTACTCCTCTCAAACAACTAAGATATTTCCTTTTCATAAATGAGGAAACCGAGGCTCGAGAAGGTGAAGGTCACACAGGTAGAGACCCCAGGCAGCACCTGGGCACCTATCCAGAGTTGCATGAATCTATGCATCCACTCCAGTTATCACACAGTTCTATCAGGAGCCGAGCAAGGGAGAAGCAGAAGCAGGGTGAGGTGGGCCTGGTGGGACACTCAGAGCAGATGGTACGGGAGATCACCGGAAAGCTCTGCCCTTTGATGTCTCCTACTAGCCAGGAATCCAAGCCTCTCCTACTCGCAGAACCTCCCTAGAGAACTCCCTGGCATTTGGGGGAACACTGGAGGGGAGAATGGCAGGAGCGTGAGATGAGCAATAGCTCATGTTTGTACAACTTGATTGCTCCATCTCCAAGCCCAGCAACAAGCCCTGGAGGTGGGTAGGTAATAATAATAACCTCAACACCAAGGACAAGAGCTCACTTTTGTTACAGGTCATTCATTATATGCTGGACACTAAGCACTTTGCTTGGCTTACATGTTGAGCAACCTCAAGGGCCAAGGTACTATTATTTACGTCGTTTTCCCAGAAGAGATAACAGGCAACAGAGAGTTAGGTAACTTGCCCACGGTCATCCAGGCCTGATTTTTGCAGGGAGGGGGGCAGGTTTACTAAGGTGTAACTTACACACAGTAAAACTCACCCTTCGTAGTGTACAGTTGTATGAGTTTTTAAGACACACACGAGAGTGTAATTACGATCACAATTGGGAAGCAGAAGGGTTCTACCACTCCCCCAGACAGGGCGGTCTCCTACCCTCCATGGCCTCTCAAGCAGCATTTCACAGGTGACAAAATGGTCGGGAGAGGTTGTGGTGTTGCCCAAGATCGCTTGGTCAGTAAGTGGCAGATCCGAGAATGGAACTTTCATCACATGTCTGCTAGTTCAGCTGCCTGCAGCGTGTAGATTCTTGAGTCTACAGAGCAAAACCCTCAGCGACTCGGGATGTGGGGATTGGGACCTCTTGCTCTAAGATGGAGCCTCAGAAATCCCCCCACTTCTCACTGCTCACACCGGTACTTAACCAAACACCCACTCTTCCTGGGCAGCTAAGGAACAAAGAGGGGCCGGATTCTGCAAGGCTGAAGACGCCACAAGTTAAATGAATGGCAGCCGCTGGGTCCTAGGAGTAGAGTCTAGAGGCAGCTCAGGGTCCAAGTCCAGACTAGAGTGCCCAGCACCCTCATGTACAAGCACTCGCCAGCCTGGTTAATGATTTACTCTCCTAGTTAATTTCTCCACACGTCGGGGCTGGGCAGCTCGAAACTTTCGGAGCTCTTCTGTCTGGGCACATGAATTAGCATAGATTTCTCAGTGTCCAGGTCTTCCGTGTTGGGCCTCTGACTCACTGGAAACCCGCTTCTCCCTTGTGGGGGCCCAGGAGAGGTTTAGCCACCAGCAGCGCATAGGGGCAGAGGAACTGCCAAGTCCTACTCCTGCCAGGAGGGCGGGCATCAGACTCCTTCACCCTCGCCTACCTGGTGGTAACTGGAGCCCCCGGGGCAAACCTGGCCCTGTCAGAGTAGTTTGCAAGAGGCTGGTGGCCTGCAAGGACAATGCATACTGGGAGCGGCCTGGGCACTCTGCCCCAGACGAACCACTGTCCCTGCCTCAGGAGCGAGGCTGAGACTCTGGGCTCCATAGCGTTGCTCACTTCCTTGGGACACTCTCCGGACACATCTTGGCCAAAGTAGGGTGAGGGTTAGGGGGCAGAGAAGGGGTTTAAGATAGTACCAGCAACACTTTAGTGCTTACTCTGAGAGTTCAGTAGAGGGGGAACTTATCACACCATGGCTGGCCTCACTTCACCTCTCAGACACTGATTGGATCTCCTTTACTTTCAAGGTCATCTACTGTCATACCCCCAGCCAAGATCACTAAGACTGTGCCTAAATGACCACTCCCAGCCTTGCAGCCAGGGCAGGGCTCTTAGTGCCCTAAGTTTTCCACTTGGAGCCTAAGGAGTTTGGAAGGCCTGGCCTGAGGTCAGGCCTGACTCTCTAGCCCTGCTGGAGATCCTTCCATGGAGAAAGGGATCCTCTCTCATGGGCTCCAGGATCCAGGATCTACAGCCCATCTAAATTGGGTGTTTCTTTCCAGAAGGGAGGACTGACCCTTACCTCCACCCCAGGCTGGCTGGCTAGCACAGCCCAAAAACTTCCACTTTCCCTGGTGCTTCAGGCTTCCTGCCCACCAGGGCACAGTGAGGCTTTGTCTCTACAGCCTAATTGAGGGAAAGATTTCTGAATTAGAGACAATATTTTTGGAGGTCAGTGTTTCAGGACCCAGGGAGGTGTGTATTCAAACTGCTCCCCTCCCCAAGAGGCTGGATTGAACACCCTGTATCCTTGAGCCTAGGGAAAAGGATGAGGGGGGGTGGGGAATGCCACAAAGCAAGGTTGCCCACTAGGGGTGAAAACCCAGCCAAGACCCCTGCCCAGAGCTGGTGGCAGAGGGCTGAAGCCTGAGGCAGGTTTCTTGGGGCGAGTGCAGACCTGAGGCCCACACCTGTATCGTGTGTGTATGTATGTGTGCCCTGGGAATGTTCAGGGAGACAGCATGAATAATCTCTTTTGGGCCCTCACTAAGGTCAGGTGCCAGGCAACCCCAGAAAACACACCCTTAACTCCTCTTTTGCCTGGAGTGTTTTCCAAAAGGGAGTTTAGACCCTCTTCGCACCCTACCCCCAAACACAGATCATGCCTGGGATAAAATGGAGAAATTGACATGAACATAAACACACAGCAGATGAAACTATAGAGAATCAGGGCAGAGAGTGGGCAGCTGAGAAAGCAGGGGAGCATGTCCGGAGATCTGGGGATCTTTGATTGATGAATCCGGTGGCGTTGAAGCCTGACTTTACATGATTTCCCTCTTCTCCCTCTCCCAATCGACATTTTTTGGGTCTCACGGCAACCTAGTCACCAAACACTGGCATTTCTTCATCCTTAAGAGAAATGACATGGGCCTCCAAGTAATAGATTAAAAGGATGCCAGATTTATTTTAAATCATTAATTGCAAACGTGCAAAATACCTGCTGGTACTTCACTTAAGAAGAATGTAACTGGCAAAAAGAAAAAGAGGAAAAAAGAGGCGGCTGATGAATAGATAATAGATCTTTAACCACCAATAAACAGAGAGCAGCGCCAGCAGCCTGGGGGATGTGATCATAATTATGCCGCTGCGTGAGCCAATGGGGACGAGGGAACTCGGCCCTAAAATCATCCCAAAACCGAAGGCGAGCTCGAAAATGCGGACAAGGCTTGGGACCGGAGAAGCGATCTGCACTCCCTAGTTGCAAGCCCTGGGTTTGCAGAGCAACCCGCCCCTGGGACGACAGATGGCAGAATAATAATAGAAATAATAATGATAATAATAACGATGACAATAATAATAGCAGCAATAATAACAATACCAACAGCACTAACAAAAATTATAACGACAACGCAGTGGTAATAGTAGTACCCATCAGTCTCTCCCTTGACCTTGGACCCTCAGTCCCAGATAATGCAGAAGGAATTATGTGCGGGAAGATGAACACCCTCCCGGAGGAAAATATCCCGGAGAGCCTGTGGGCTAGTTGGAAGCCCATCTCCCGGGCTGGGTCATCCACTCTAGTCTCATCTTGGAAACCAACGAGCCGGGTCATGGATCGCGAAAGGAGCGACCCTCGGACGTCGGGGCTACGTGTCGTTGGAGGACCCCCCCTCCCCCGACAAGACTCCCTCCTCACCTAGGAAACCGCCAGGCGTTTTCTGGGGGTAGGGATTTGTGTGACCGAACGGAACCAACCCTTACCCACTTACCCTTGTGTGCTCCCGGGGCGATCCGAGCTCCCCTGACGCGGGGTCGCGGTGGGCAGCGGCGGAGGCGCGCTAGGGGTGAGGAATCTGTGTGTCAGTCTGTCCGTCTGTCCCACCAGTTCGGGTTCAGCAAGCTCGGGATCGAAGGGACCGCAGCGGAGGCGGCACCGGACGGGTACTCTGCAGGGACCCGGGTGCCCCGCAGGGAGTGGTGGTGGTGGAGAGAAGCAGGCGGTGGCTGAGTGGGAGAGGTGGGGGAAATAGGGAGGGAGGAAGAAAGGAGGAGGAGGAGAAGAAGGAGGAAGAGGGAGGAGGAGGAGGAGGAGGAGGAGAGGCTGAAGGAGAGGAGGAG